GTTTTAGCAGTTCCCTCAGAAGAGGTCTTCATACACAGGTCCTCGGGGCTCTGGAGGCACTCAATGCATTTTTATCAGCACTATGAAGAAAGAAAAGAACTTTTACCTGAGGTATGAGAGTCCTTTTAAATTATCAGGTCCAGAGAGACAATAAAATGAGATAGTAATCAACCTTGAGCTACGAATTCAGCTCTTGAAACTGCTTGCTAATCACAAGGAGCTATAAATTAACCTAATAAAGCCACACCAGGCACTAAACCACGCAGTGCAGCCTCATAATGTAGAGCCAATCACAAATCAAATCAACGTTATTTCTTTTTTTTTTTTTTTTTTTTTTTTTTTTGGTGATGGAGTTTCACTCTTTCACCCAGGCTGGAGTGCAGCGGCATGATCTTGGCTCACTGCAACCTCTACCTCCCTGGTTCAAACGATTCTCCTGCCTCAGCCTCCTGAGTAGCTGGGTAAAGGCACCCACCACCACACCTGGCTAATTTTTTTGTATTTTTAGTAGAGACAGGGTTTCGACATGTTGGCCAGGCTGGTCTCAAACTCCTGACCTCAAGTGATCTGCCCGCCTCGGCCTCCCAAAGTGCTGGGATTACAGGTGTGAGCCGCCGCACCCGGCCTCAATGTTATTTCTATAAACCAATGAGAATTCCTGATGGATTTATATCAGCCCACTTGTTGTCCCCCCTTTTTGCCTTTAAAAAACTGATTGTAACAAAGAGCCAGTGAAGTTCATTTCCAAGCTTCCTTGAGTCTGAGTCTTCCAGGCAGCTGTCCTCACTTTGCCTCAGTAAACTCTTTATATTTTATGCCTCAACCTCTTCCTTTTAAGTCAACACCTACTAGTGCTGGGCGCAGAGCCAGGGGTGGCCTGGAATCAAGCTGGGCCCTTCCTCAGCTGGCCAGGCTTCCCTATAGCCAGGGCAGCCTTGGCTGTGCATGGTGCATGGCCCTGTAGGGCCACCAAAGCTGGACTGGGTCCTCGCAGTGGCAGGCCAGTCTCTTCCTCTTTGTACAGGTGGGAAGCTAGAGTGAAAGGAACTAATCCACTACAGCGCAGGCCAAGGAGAAAGGAAAGAGGCAGATAATACCCCTTTTCCCCTGAGATGTAGAAGGTGGGTTGGGGGTGAGGACTGGGAGGGCTTAAGAGCCTGCCATGTCATCCATCCCTGTAGCCTGGTTGTGGCTTTTGCAAGTCCCCATTCCTGTCAACAGTGTGAGCAGAGCACTCAGAGCTGAGGTTGGTGGGGTCAGGGGAGGGTGCTGGGCATAGGGAAGGGCAAAGATGATAAAAACATCCAAGAACCAAACCCCTGCTCATGGAATCTCATAGTCTTGTGGGGGAAACCAGCACTGCATGAGCGGGTAACGCAGCACAGTACGGCACAGCACGGCATAGCACGCACGCCAGGTGCAGAGGCACCCAAGGAGACAATGATTAACTTCACAGAAGGACCAGGGGTTTGAGAAAGACTTTGAGATAAAAAGATAACAAGAGTTTTTCATGTAGACAAGAAGAGGGCTTCCTGTTCCCAGGGAGAGGGAATAGGGAATGGAATGTCCACTGCGTGCATGGATGCAGCAGCAGGGCTGAGCTGGCCACAGCTGCTGTGCTGACACTGAACCATCAGGGCTGGACGATGGGGGTAGCAGGAGCTGCAGCTGGACATAAGGCAAGGTCATACCTGTAATTAAGGCCTGGGAGGCCACTTTCCAAAAGGTTTGAACTTTATCCTGAGGGCAGGGAAGGATTTGGGGCCAGAGATGGGCTGAATCTGACCATGGCGGAGAGACTGGCCCAAGTCCTTGGAGATGCTGCCTGACTCTGGGATACAAGTTCTGCAGTACCCAGTGGTGAGGGCGTGGGCAGGGCCTGGGAGGTAGGAGGAAGAAGACCAATTCCAGGTCCATTCTGGATGTAGAGTCTCTGGATCAGGCCTGAGGGAGGACCAGGCTTTGGAGCGAAGGCCCTGGTGAACCTTCGGAGGAAGTGGAAGGTGTGAAAGCGCATTTCTACCGGACTGCAGTGCGTTCGGCTGCATGTATTGTGAGCTGAGCATAGTGGGGAACGGATTTTGTCATCTTAGACTTCTTACGAAGCTCAGGCAAAGAGGTAGCTGGTGTTGGTTGAACAGCTGCCAGCATCTAGGCTTCTATTTTTGCCATCTCTTTGGCCATGAAGTCCTTGTCCCAGGCAGGAAGAGGAGGTGGCAGTGTAGTGGATGTGGTGGCACCCTGTCCAGGTCACCTGTTCAAGCCAAGGCATTCCCTACAGCTGCTGGGGAGAGCAGCTGCTACAGATGACCTCACGCCTGCCTGGGAACTACTGGCTGAAGTGAGAGACGAAGGCTCTGCCCACTTGACTCAAAGCAAGGCAGCTGCAGGGCCAACGAGCTCCAGAGTTCCCTGCAGTGTCAGCCACAGCCTCAGTTGCAACCTCATTGCCAGCCAGCTTTTCCCACTGCCCCATCCTGCCTCCCTCATCTGTCCCAGTTGCATCTCCCAAAAACCCCCACAGTAAACGCATGCACAGGGCTCTCTGTCTCAGAATCTGTACCCAGAAAGTCAGTCTAAGACAGCTAGCTGTATCTGACCACCGTCTCAGAAAAGCAACCCCAGCCCTGGAGCAGACCTTGGCTTCTCTCAGTGGCCAGAATTGAGCCCTGGCTGCAAGGGAGGCCAGGCACAGTACAATCTCAGGAGTGTGCTAACAAAGGAGAAGGCAGGAATAGGTGTCAGGGGCGCTGACTGTCACAGAAGTTTCAGACACTTAAAACTGCACATTTAATTTATCAAATCCCAGAGAATGAGAAAGTGAGAAGACAGAATGCCCCGGGACAGTTAATGTTCCTGGGATGATGTTTTGCATGTTCTGATGAACTGGGTCTGTCCTTTGAAAACTTCTTATGGCTAAGGGCTGAGATGAGGAAGAAAAGGTGGAGAAATTCAGAGGTTGGCATTTAAGAAGCCTTGATCTAAGTGTTGACTGCAATGTGTTCTGGATGTGATATCTGGGCTGTTTGCTCATCTGTCAGATGAGGACATGATGCCTCTGAGGAGTAGCTGTGACCCAGCAAGGGAGGCAACATTGTCATCGTACTGAGCAGGGCTGAGGATGGCCAGGCAGGAATGAGGCTGGGAGGAGAGGACTGGGGAGCAGGGTGGAGTTCCTCGGGGGCTGTGTCAGGTGAGGCAGGGCAGGGAGGAGACAAGCCAGAGATACTCCGTCTGGCTAGAATCTCCCACAAGTGTGACCCAAGGCACAGAAACTGGGGTGGAATGAGGGTGGACTCTGGTCAGTGGGACTCAGTAAAGTGGGTTGGAACCAGTGAGCTGGATGTGTAACCCTTCAGGGGATGGAGATCCCAGATGTAAACTCAGAAACCAGTGTGTTTTCTGGACCCTCCTGGCAGGTAAGTTAGAACAGAAGAGGCATCTACATGGGGCCTTGACTTACCCCAGGTATTTTGCTACTAATTCCAATATTCCTTCTCTGAGAACACAAACATACATGGAGATAGAGGGGTTTACAATCCCATTTCACACCTATACACAGAGCCCTGGGCCACTGAATCAGTAAAATTTATGATGATTAAGCTTCTGCACGGGGGTAGTCCAGCATCACCATGGAAACATCACACCCTTCTCCCAGCCCAGGAAGTGATGGAGGGTGATGGGTAGGCACAGTGCCAGGAATCAGGCTTGGACAGAGGTACGTGCAGCACTGGAGATGACTGATGGAGGGCGAGAGAGGTTGTGGAGCAAGGGAGCTCATCACCTGCTGGTGTCCCATGGAGGACCAGATCCACCTGAGTGAATCTAACAGCACATACTAGAATCTGAACTCTGCAGATTTTGGGGGAGGAACTGGTAATCCTCCCTCACAATCCCTCCCTTTGAACAGGAGCTCACCTTTTACTCTCAAGTCCAGCCTCTAGTTATTACTGAGACGTGCTTCCCTGCAGATTCCTTCTAGGGTGGGAAGTAGGGCCGTTAGTTTCTCTGCAGCCAACCCCAGAGATAAGGATGGTGTTTGTTTTCCAAATTTTAACACTTTATTGTGCTTTTCCATAGTTTAAAGATCATAGCCCAGTCATTGGCCAAAGCAGAGCCTCTGGCTATTTTGGACAAAGCTGCAAGTCAGAGCTGCTTGCTCCGTGTGGGGCATCTGGTGTGGCTAGTGGGACCCTGTGTCTCAAAGCACTGCACCCCCCGTGCTCAGCACATGCTGGGGCCTCAGGAGATGGTTGTGGGATGTCCGGGTCTAAGTTTCCCCATAGCTAACCCTGAGACAAGACGGGTGCAGGATCCTGGGAAGCCCAGGGGAAAAGATGGGTGCAGAGCCTGGAAAGGAGAAAGTCTGTGAGGCTCACACCAGAGTCCACTCCTGCTGGGGCCCCTGAGGAGCCTGTGGAGAGCCTCGGGGTGTTCCCTCCGGAAGACAAGAGCCTGGGGAGACCCCTGCACTGAGAGGAGGGCTGCCCTTCAAACAGAAAGGCAGCAGCACTGCAACAGCGCCAGGTGGACTCTGGGGGCCCAGGATGAGCCTCTAGTGTCTGCACAGGGGATGGGAAGCCTGTGTTTGTTGAGACTTGGACAAGCCTTGCAGTGTGGCCGGAGACGATGGCCAACGTGCAGCAGAGAGCCATGCGGGGGCCAGCTCTCCTCCTACTGAGCCCTCTTCACCTCTCCCAGCCCCTACTGGTGCACTCCCAGTTTTGCCTGAGCTGTGTGAGTTTGGTTTCTGGAACTTGCACCCAAACTGTCCTTACTGAAGAACAAATGACATTATAAACCCAAAGGCCTGGGGACAAATGTGACCTCCCTTCGCTCTTGCTCTAGAAGCAAGGCTGGGTGGCTGGGGAGCTGGGGTCCCACCCTTGGAGAACTTAGGTTGTGAAATGCTCCTAGGGGTGCTTTCAGTGCAATTACTGACAGCACCTAGGACCTGATGGCCAGTTCCAGATGCCAACAAGATGAAATCGACCAACTGCTCCTTTTTACCATACAAACAACTTTTATTTGCATGTGGCTACTTAGTAAATATTAAACAGTGATCATCCTAGACAGCTGCCAGGTAACAAAAAGAGAGACACATGGAGGCTTTTCAAGGTATCAGGTTGCAAAAAAAAAAAAGTATCAAAGTGATCAGAAAGTGAGCAGCAAGCAGTAGTGAAGCCAGAATTTTCTTTGCCATGACTCCTGTAGTTCTGTCCCTGCCCCTGCAAACCCCAGGAGGGGAAACAGGTTGATACAAAACTGTAAGGTCTCAAACCAGTTAGGACAAGTCCCTTTCTCATAATAATTTATTTCATACCCAATGACAGAAGGCATGTGCAGTTACAGGGCTGTGCCCCACTCGTCTGGGTCAGCAGAAGAGCACAGCTTTCTTTGGAAACATATTTACTTTAAAACCAAGCACCTTGATTTGATATTTCAGTGTGCACAACTTTGCCCATCTAGGTCCTGGTGAGCCCTGGCCCAACCCCGTGGGCACCACCATTCCGCCAGGCCTCAGAGGGCCACCGGGTGCTTAAGAGAATGTGAGGGGGGTGAGTGCAGGTGGAGGAGCACGGTCCCTGGGACACGAGTCCTTCACTCCTCGCTGAGATGATGCGGCAGCCTTTTCTTCCAATGTGGCTGTGGCAGAAGAATGCATGGATGTAATGTTTTTGCCTTCTTCCCTGGGGGTCTTTTCTGAGGAACCAGGCACTGTCTAGTCCTTAAGAGGTGGAGTCCTGGAATCCTGACCCAGGCACCCGGCAGCTGCGCAGTTTCTGAGATGTCAGACTCATGGAGGAGCAGGCTATGCCCTTCCCTCCCCACTCCCCACCCCTCAATACCCAGCTCTAACTATATAATGATTTATTTTCCCCACAAATCTTCCTCAAAATTGGCTTCATGCAGATTTTCCTTGGATCCCAATGCTGGAGAGGAAAGGGGAGGGGAAGTGGGAGGCTGGTGGGCAGGGTGGCTTGACCCTGTCAGCCTCCCGGGGAACTCGGGACCACAGCTCCCTAGCGCAGGCTCAACAAGGGACCAGGAACAAGGTCTACGCCTTAGATCTGAAGACCTTGGCAGCACCTCTTCAATTTTAAGAGAATCAGATGGGGCGTGGTGGCTCAAGCCTGTAATCCCAGCCCTTTGGAGGCTGAGGTGGGTGAATCACGAGGTCAGGAGATTGAGACCATCCTGGCTAATACAGTGAAACCCCGTCTCTACTAAAAATACAACAAAATTAGCTGGGCGTGGTGGCGGGTGCCTCTAGTCCCAGCTACTCGGGAGGCTGAGGCCAGAGAATGCCGTGAACCCGGGAGGCGGGACTTGCAGTGAGTGGAGATCGCGCCACTGCACTCCAGCCTGGGTGACAGAGCGAGACTCCGTCAAAAAAAAAAAAAAGAGAGAGAGAATCATCAGAATCAGACTGAGTATTCCCCTGGACCTACTCTACGGAAACCCAAACAGGCTTGACATTAGTGGAACTGGGATTCTCCACCAGTGGAGTGAGGGCTTTGATGTGAGTTGTCTAGAAGAGCAAGTTCATGGTCAGATAATTCCAAGAGACAGTTGTTTTCCCAGGAGAAAGAAAAGCGTCGTCCTATTCAGCAGAGTGAATTTAAATGTCCAAACAAAGTGTGGTGTCATCACTCAGTCTGCAAGGACGCTCTGTTAATCCTGTGGACGTTTTAGTGGATCTTCTGTTTATCATCCAGATGGCAAACGTTGGCAGCTGCTTTTGGGGACCAATAATTGCGGCTCTCAAGGAGCATTTCCCCCTTGGCCTGGCGCCTGTGCATCAGTGGTAATAGATGCTGAAGGCATGGAGGATGTAGAGCAGTGTGGTGATGAAGGCGAAGAACTGGAAGGAGGTGGAGAGCGACTGTTACAGACAGCAGCGCCAGCTCTTGCCCACACCCCAGGGACCCTCAGCCCCACTGCCCAGGAGGCCACCCATGACCCTGCCTCCGCATGACGCTGCCTCCTCGCCTCCTGCCTGGCCTGAGGGCAGCAACCCCTGGCCAATGACTCCCTCTCCTGGAAACTCTGCATCAGGGCATCCCTGGGGCCATCCTGGTGTCCCGCCCTGACTGCAGTCTCTGTCTCACCTGCACCTGGCTGTGAAGCAGGCTCACCTCCACTCCAGTCCTGGGCCCATATCCCACACTGACCTCCTGCCCGAGGCCCACTCTCCTCTACCCACCTCCAGCAAACCTGTGTTCTGAACACTCCTACAGCTCCCCTCGCTGGTCCAGAACTCTGCTCTGAGCGGCTGCTGATCAGCTCCTTGTGACTGTTCAGACCTCCTCCAGCATTCTGGCTCACACTGAGTCCCTGACATTTCCTCACAAGCCTCACAAGCCCAGTGGGTCCCAGGGTCCTCCTCTCACCCCGCTTCCTGGGCCTGACGCCTGTGGCCCCCGACTCCTCCTGCCTCCCTTGCCAGCCATGTGCAAAGCCACCCCAAAGGCTACTGATTTCCCTGCCTAGCTCATGGGACATGCATTTCTCCCTTGTCTCAGCCACTGGCATCCCTCAACAGGACTCCTCATGGCCTCACTTGTCCATTTCTGCCTGCCCTGACCCTTGAATCTGCTGCACCATTCAGGCAGGGCAGGCAGAAGTGGACAAGTGAGGACACTTCTCACTCATGGGGAGAACACAATCACGTTGCCCCACATTGAAGCTGTGTGACGGCTCTGCTCTTTTCTCAGGGTAGGGCCTGTCACCTTCACCTTTCGGGTCTTTCCAAACATCCCAGCCCCACTCTGCCCCACTGTCCACTCACATGCTCCTCATTCAGTCAGTCAACAAATATCTTTTAAGCACCTGCTTTCCTTCAAGAACAACTGTGGGTATAACAGTGAAGAAAATATTCAAAAATTCCTGCCCTCAGGGAGCTTACATTTGAGAGATAAGAAGCAGACAGCAGCAAGACAGACGAGTAACACATACATGGGTTAGATGGAGGTAAATGCCACCCACTGTGGGGTGCACTGTGACCCTCTGGGATGGCCACTAGATAGTTCAGCTGCCTTCCAGCCTGTCTGCCTCCCTTCCCTCCTCATCAGGTGAGTTTAACTTCCTAAACCTGCAAGTCCAGCAATGGCCCCTGCAGTCCTCCATGGCCCAGCCTGTCCACAGCATGGCACCCTGCTGTTCACCCATGGTCGGCTGTCACAGCTACACCACCCTCCTGGCTGCCCTTGAGCATACAGAGGGACCTTGGTAGGGGTAACTGCCTGGTGGGATCTTAGCAGGGGTAACTGCCTAGTGGCCCCTGCCTCCTTCTGTCCTCTTGACAGGGCCTTCCTTGATGCCCCCTCCCCTGAGATCGTGGCATTCCACTTTCCCCTTCCCTGCTTCTTCTTCTCTCAATAGTTCAGCCATGCTGAGGGATGTGGGCTCCATTCCAAAGGCAGTGGGTGCCACTGAAGGATTTTCAGTAGGAGAGAGACACCTGTTCCAATTTGTGTTTTGGAAAAAAAAAATTCTGCAGACAGTGTTGGGGGTCTAAGAGAGAGGAAAGCTGGAGTGGGAACGATAGAAGGTGAAAGAGGACCCCTGAATGTGGGTGCACAGGTTTACAGGGACACACATCCCTCTCCCCTGCTCGCGTGGCTCCTTCACTTGAGGGCTCAGGATCTATGCAGCACAAGGCAGAGTTAGACCTCCTGCACTAAACATCTTCTAGCCAAGACTGCTGTCCGTGGCCAGCCCACTCACCGAGGCTGCTGTGTTAATGTAGTAAATTCTCGGGTCCACGCTCTCAGAAACAATCGTGGCATGTACTTGTAGGACGGCAGCACTCATGTACAGGATGCCAGTGGTCCCATGGTACAGGCTGTCCTGGAAATGCAGAGCAGAGCCACGCATGGCCATGTCAATCAGGTAAGCATTTTCCTCTCTGACTACATAGCTATAAAGAATGAGCAAATGAGGCAGGCCAGCTCCCCTAGACTCCTGCTTTTTGTTTGTTTGTGTGTTTGTTTGTTTGTTTGCAGTGTGATTTGGTTTGGCTCTGTGTCCCCACCCAAATCTCATCTCGAATTGTAATCCCCACGTGTTGAGGGAGGGACCTGCTGGGAGATGATTGGATCATGGGAGCAGTTTCCCCATGCTGTTCTCATGATAGTGAGGGAGTTCTCATAAGATCTGATAGTGTAAAAGTGTGACACTTTTCCCCTCCTACTCTCTTCTGCTGCCGTGTAAGGCGTGCCTTGCTTCCTCTTCGCCTTCCACCATGATTGTAAGTTTTGTGAGATCTCCCTAGCCATGCAGAACTGTGAGCCAATTAAACCTCTTTTCCTTATATATTACCCAGTCTCAGGTAGTTCTTTAGAGCAGTGTGAGAACGGACTCATACAGAAAATTGGTACCAGAGTCAGGCACTGCTATAAAGATACCTGAAAATGTGGAAGCAACTTTGGAACTGGATAATGGGCAGAGGTTGCAACAGTTTGGAGTACTCAGAAGAAGACAGGAAGATGTGTGAAAGTTTGGGACTTCCTAGAGACTTGTTGAATGATTTTGACCAAAATGCTGATAGTGATATGGACAATGAAATCCAGGCTGAGGTGGTCTCAGATGGAGATGAGGAACTTATTGGGAACTAGAATAAAGGTCACTCTTGCTATACTTTAGCAAAGAGACTGGTGGCATTTTATCCCTGTCCTAGAGATCTGCGGCACTTTGAACTTAAAAGAGATGATTTGGGGTATCTGGCAGAAGAAATTTCTAAGCAGTAAAGCATTCAAGATGTGACCTGACTTTTCCTGAAAATGTACAATCATATGCATTCACAAAGAGATGGTCCAAAACTGGAACTTATGTTTAAAAGGGAAGCAGGACATAAAAGTTTGGAAAATTTGCAGCCTGACCAGGTAGAAAAGAAAAACATATTTTCTGGGGAAAATTTCAAGCTGTCAGCTGCAGAAATTTTCATAAGTAATGAGGGGCCCCAAGACAATGGGGAAAATATCTCCAGGGCATTTCAGAGATCTTCACAGCAGCCCCTCCCATCACAGGCTTAGAGACCTAGGAGGGAAAAATGGTTTTGTGGGCCAGGCTCAGGGTCCTGTTGCTCTGTGCAGTCCTGGAACACACCACCCTGCAACCCAGCTGCCCCAGCTCCAGCAGTGGGCACCAAGGTACAGCTCAGGCCATTGCTTCAGAGGGATAAGCCCAAAGCCTTGGCAGCTTACACATGGTGTTGGGCCTACAGGCATGCAGAAGGCAAGAACTGAGGTTTAGGAATCTCTGCCATGATTTCAGAGGATGTATGGAAATGCATAGATGTCCAGGCAGAATCTGCTGCAGGGGTGGAGCCCTTATGAAGAACCTCTACTAGGGCAGTGCAGAAGGGAAATGTGGGGTTGGAGCCCCTACACAGAGTCCCCCCTGTGGCACAGGCTAGTAGAGCTGTGAGAAGAGGGCCACCATCCTTCAGACCCCAGAGTGGTAGGTCCACTGACAGTTTGCATCAGGTACCTTGAAAAGCCACAGACACTCAATGCCAGTTTGTGAAAGCAACTGCAGGGGCTGTACTGTGAAGAGCCACAGGGATGGAACTGCCCAAGGCCTTGGGTGCCCACTCTTTGCAACAGTGTGACTTGAAAGTGAGACATGAAGTCAAAGGAGATTTTGGAGTGTTGGCATTTAATGGCTGCCCTGCTGGGTTTAGGATTTGCATAGGTCCTGTAGCCCCTTTGTTTTGACCAATTTCTCCCATTTGTAATGGGAGCATTTATGCAATGCTTGTACCCTTATTGTGTCTTGGAAGTAACTAACTTGCTTTTTGATTTTATGGGCTCATAGGCAGACAAGACTTCCCTTGTCTTAGATGAGACTTTGGACTTAGACTTTTGGGTTAATGCTGGAATAAGTTGAAACTTTGGGGGACTGTTGGGAAGGCATGATTGTATTTTTAAATGTGAGAAGGACATGAGATTTGGGAGAAGCAGGGGTATAATGATATGGTTTGGCTCTTTGTCCCCACCCAAATCTCATCTCCAATTGTAATCCACATGTATCAAGGGAGGGACCTGGTGGGAGGTGATTGGATCATGGGGTCAGTTTCCCCTGTGCTGTTCTCATGATAGTGAATGAGTTCTCATGGATTCTGATGGTTTAAAAGTATGGCACCTCCCCCTCCCCTCTCTCTCCTGCTGCCATGCAAGGTATGCCTTGCTTACCCTTCACCTTCCACCATGATTGGAAGTTTCCTGAGACCTCCCTAACCATGAGGAACTATGAGTCAATTAAACCTCTTTTCTTTATAATTTACCCAGTCTCAAGTAGTTGTTTATAGCAATGTGAGAATAGACTAATATATAGTGTTTTAAATGTAATATCTATGTCATAAGCAATGGCAGATTAATAAAGATCAGTATATTTCAGTTACCCAAGTCAATCTTGGTCTGAAATATTAAATGAAAAATTCCAGAAATTAACAATTAAGAGAGTGCCTTTCTGAGTATAACGATGAAATCTTGCACTGTCCCACCCTGTGCCACCTGGGATGTGAATCACACCTTTGTTCAGCATGTCTACACTGTCTATGCCACCTATGTTAGTCACTTTGTACCCATCTCGGCTATCAGATCAACTGTTGTGTCATTGCAGTGCTTGCACTCAAAGAATCCTTATTTTACTTCATAATGGCCCCAAATTGCAAGAGTAGTGATGCTGGCAATTTGGATATGCCAAAGAGAAGTCATAGAGTGCTCTCTTTAAGTTAAAAAGTATAAGTTTTCAATTTAATAAGGAAAGAAAAAAATATGCTGAGGTTGTTAAGATCTACAGTAAGAATGAATTGTCTATCTGTGAAATTGTGAAGAAGAAAAAAGAAGTGCATGCATAGCATAATCGGGGTTCAGTACTATCTGAGGATTCAGGCTTCCCTTAGGGGTCTTGGGACTTGTCCTCCAGAGATAGGGGGACCACTGTATACTGTCTTAGGTATGCTGAGGAACTGTTTACTTTGTATACATGTGATAATGTGAGAAAGTTGGCGGGTTTTCTTGGAAACATACTGAAGTGTGTGGGATAGAATGGCATGATGTTTGGGGTTTGCTTTAAAATTCCTTAGTGGGGAAAAAGGCTAGATGAAACAAATGTGGTAAGGTCTTGATAATGCTGCAATATGGGTTATGGCTACATGAGGGCCTATAATACAATATTCTGCACTTTTAAATATGTCTTCAATTGTTCGGTATGAAACACTTTTAAATGGTTTTTTGAGATTATGCGATAACATAAAAATTAGTGACGTAATATTAAATGAAAGCATCTACATCCAAAATTATTTGTAGAGTATAATTTATATAAATATGTGTGTGTGTGTATATGTGTGTGTATGTGTGTGTGTGTGTATACTTTGCATATAATTCATGTGGAATATGGAAGAAATAACCTGTCACAGGGATTGTGATAGAGCCTTGAGATGGGACTGATTTTTTCCTACTAGCATTTTCTTCAGTGTTGCTCCAAGGATTTTACCAGGAAGAAAATTTAAGGGAAACACATCAGAATATGCTTGATCACAGGGCATTGTGTGTTCTCCTAACAGGGAAGGCAGTGAAGGGGAATACAAGGAATGATTTACTCTTGCAGAGAAATGTCTTCATTTTGGCCTGGTAGTAACATACTAAGATAAAATGTCTTGGTTCCGTAGAAGCCTAGCCCAAGACCCCTCCCTGCCCAGAAAGGCCAATTATCCTCACCCAACCCAGGACGTCCACCCGGGAGGAGCCATGTTGCTGGTTCTTACCAGAACTCTCCAGGATTCAAATCTTTTGTAAAATCCAAACAAGTAAGACAACAGGAACATCAAGGAGATGAGAAACGAGGTGAGTGAGACATACATCACCCATCCTTGCAGCAATGGGAATACTACGTGGGTGGCAGCTACCAGGGTCCAGACCAAGAACCCAAATATCTGGAAGATAAAAGCATAAAAGAAGGGGCTTCATTAGCTAGTATGGAACATGTTTCCCTTTGCAGGGCATCTCTTTTCTGTGTCTAGCTACAAGTTCAGGTGAAATTAGGAGGGAACCAAGAGGGAAATGGGGAAGGAAGCCTGGCCCCTCTGAGTCACGGTAAAGTCAGGTCTGATTGTTAGAAAATTCAAGGGGTTAATGCAGAGGTCACAAACAGAGGGACTCAGCCAAGTCTGGCCTGTGAATGTGTCTTTTGGCTCAAGCAGTACTGGCATACACACTTTTAAACAATTCTGAATAAGTTCCCAATGTTTAAAACAGGATATTTCACATGGAAAATCCAGATTTGGGACATTTCTTTAGAAATCTGTGGTTCTGGCCACAGGGTACCCATTTCTCAGGCCAGAGTAGGCTGAAATGAGTTGTGACTGTCTCTTTAAAAGGACCTGGAGTCCTCAGTGGACCACATCCCCTCACCCAATTAACCTCACACCATGCTGTGGGACATTCCCTGTTGCTCACTGACACTGTGGAATTACTAATGAGATAGAGCTTATTTTTGTGTATTTGTTAGCCACTAATATTTCTTCCTCTGTAAAGTTTTTTATTTTTTTCATCAGTTAAGTATTTTTAAATAGATTTTTCTTTTTCTTATTGATTCATAGGAATTCTTGCTAATGGTATGGATTTCATGGACTGTCATAAACATTGCAAATATATTCTGCTAGCATTCACATACTTTATGGTTTCCTTTGATTAAGCCCATAATTTTAAGGCAGTTGAATATGTCAGTCTTTTCCTTTATTGACTATGTTTTTATCAAGTTTAAGAAATTCTTCTCTATTTTGAGTCATGAAGATATTCTTGCATCCAAGATTTTCCTCCTGAGATAATTTTCCTTCTTCCTGGAGTGCACCCTTTAGTAATCTCTTTAGTGAAGGTCAGTGGGTAGTAGTCAGTTTGATTTATTAGAAAACGTCCTTAAATTTCCCCTGACAATTATTTTCTCTCCGCACTTCCGAGATATATTTCTGCCATGTTGTATATGTTCCGTATGCTTCTGTTGTGTTTTGGCTTCCACGGTTGCTGCTGAAAGGTCAGCTGTCAGTTGAACTCTTGCTTTGTAGGAATCTGTCTTCCTTATTTGGCTGTATTTAGTCTTCACTCTGTCTTTGGCATTCTGCAGTTTGTGAAACAGTGATACCATGTGTCGAGATGTGGATATCTTTTTATTACTCCTGCTTAGTGTTCATTCTACATTTAATATCTGAAAATTCCATTCACTTGGCCTTAACAGCTTGATTCTGCAGTTTGTGCCTTCCATTAACTTCTATTCTTGTTCACTTGTTTCCTCTTATGTTTAGTGAATTTTGACTGGGAGCTCATGTCTGTGGAGGTAGCTCAGTTCTGAAAGGTGTATCAGAAACTTTCTAGACCAAACAACTTCACTCACTTTTTTTTTCTTGAGAGAGTCTCTCTCTGTCACTCAGGCTGGAGTACAGAGGTGCAATTATGGCTCACTGCAGCTTCCAACTCCTGAGATCAAATGATCCTCCTACCTCAGCCTCCTAAGTAGCTAGGACTACAGGTACATACTACCACATCTGGCCAATTTTTATTTTATTTTTTGTAGAGACAGGGGCTTGCTTTGTTGCCCAGGCTGGTCATAAACCCCTGGCCTCAAGCAATCCTCTTGCCTTGGCCTCCCAAAGTGCTGAGATTACAGGCATGAGCCACTGTGCCGTGTCTTCAAGCCCTTGTCTATAGCTCAGCCAAAAGATATACAACTTGAGTTCTGCTTTCCAAACTATATCCCTAGCTTTCTGGGACCAGCAATTCTTATATTACAACTGGCCAATACATAGACATAGATGTGTCACCCTTTCCCTTCTGAGGCTTCCCCTTGCTGTTGTCAGCTGTTGTCTTTGAATTTATGGAGCATTCTTGGGCTCTTAAGGAGAAAAGGGGAAAAGGAGATGAGAAGCTAGAATAGAATAGGAAGTTGACCACAAGGCAGAGACTCCTCAGCAAGGAATACAATCACAGCTTTACAGGCTGGAAAACAACTCCAGCAGCCTAGTACCTCTTAAAGCACCAGTTCTGGGAGCAAATTCCCCCTTAACAATCAATATCCAAGTGAATTTTGGAAGTCCTAGGCTGGTCTGAGACTGCCGGAGACTGAGTCAAGGCCTGCTTGTCCTAGGAAGGAGGCGGGAGGGATGGGAGCCGCTGTCCTCTGGCTCCCCCTCAACTGTGCTGTTGCGTGTCAATCCCAGTGATAAGGGCTGCTGATGCTTCAGAAAGGTACCAGGGCTCAGCTTTAAGGCACTCGCCAAGAAGCTATGAGAAGTGCATTAAAATGCTGGCACATGAACAATGCTGGTTATTAGTGATTCACCAGGTACTTTACAGTTTTTTAAATGCATTCACTCAGACTGCCTTATTTAGTCCACACAGCAATTCTAACTCCCTTGGAAAGACCAGAGAACTACCATTTGATACCTTCCACTGCTTACTGCCAGCTCATCTGTGCCAGGCATGGGGACAGTAAGGGAACCTCAGCCACATCTTGCCAGTCAGTGCCTGCAGACGGGTCCTGGTCCCCGTCTTGCCATCAGAAGCTTCCTTATCCATACACAGTCATGCATGCTACTTACATTCTCATGTTTAATCTTTGCCACAGTCCATGAGGTAATACTGTACCAGAGGGGACTGGGGCCTGAGGTCACACAGGCAGTGCATGGTGGGGGACTTGGACATGGTGTAGGACACTTGTGGTTCTTGCCCCAAAAACCAGGTTGCAATGCCAAAGGCAGGGCCAGGTGGAGGCTCCTAGAATATGCCGTAGGGTGGCCTGCTAGAGCCTCAGCCAAGGTCTGCCTGGGGCATTAGGGGCCTTGATGGGGATATCATACCTGCAGTCTCAGGGAGCCCATCAGCAGCCTCCTCTCTCTGGGTTCCAGCTACGGCTTAGGGATCCCTGTCCTGCCTTTCACAACAGGCCAGGGGCCTCTGAGCATTTGGGAATCTACTCAAATGTCACGGGAACCTTCCTGCAATGGCTTCAGTGTTGCAGAATCAATGTTCTGCAGAAGAAAGTCACTCACTTCTTATTTCCACATCCCTCTACCTCCTGAACAGTAGGAGGGACCAGAGCCAAGGGCTGCAGGTGGATTTAAACCCGGTGGAGTTCGTGATCCCATTTCTGTCTCAAGTAGTCTAGGTTGGATTCCTTATAGGTGTGAAAACTTTGAGTATTTGTTTTTACTTTTTCTTAAAGCTCACATTTGGCTTTCCAAATTTCCTGGTGGCCTAAACTGCTTTCCCATTTTAATGCTTATTTTTGTATTTCCTCAGAGCAGGAGATATTTTTCAATGGTTGGGGCTGACCCTCAACGTGGAGAAATATTTGATTGCAGCGAGCCATTTAGAGCAAGTAGATTTCAAGCACAACTTTGGCAGATCCTTTTCTTATAAGCAAACACACACAGTCATATACAAATTTTCCAAAACGCTGAACGGAAACTTGAAAGGACGTCTTAAGGAAAGATGGAGCTTAACAATAGGTTTTTAAAACCTGTTCTTCTCTAGAACATGAAGAGCTCCTTCATTTTTCAGAAAGTTTGTTAAAACTAGAATATGAGAACTGGGGTAACAACACCCAGATTGGAGTCCAGGAAGAAAGGGCTGACGTCAGGTTTGGAGAGGGAGGTTGAGCCTGGATGTTACCACACCAGATAGTGAGAAAACTTCCAAAGCCTCCTCGGGTCCGGCCAAAAGGAATCAGCAGGCTCCTGCTGGCCAAACTTGGGTCCCTCCTGGGACCACTTGGGCTTCTTACCGCTATGATGGATTGGAATGCATCAACTAAGGTAAAATCCATGAATTCAAAATGATACTTAAAATAAAAACTTATTTGGTCACTTTTGGAGGATTCTTATTATTTTGAAAACTGCTTTAAAAGAAAAAGAAGCTGGCAAAAAATGTGTTGTGGGGGCAAACAGCTTCTCAAATACACACATACCAGAACACTACACTCCAGGTGGCACTCTTAAGTCCTGCTACTCCTAGAACCCTTTGGGGACTTCAGGAAAGCCCCAGGGTCTGGGTCCTGCCCCAGAGAGTCTGCTTGAACAGGCAAGGGAGGCTGTGTTGTTGAGAGTTCCCCAGGCGGGGTGACCAGGGCTGAGAAAGCCTGAGGCCAGCTCTCTGCTTCTACTCTCACCTCCAACCGTGCAGTACCTTTCCTCCTGGGTTTGAGTCCCAGCTCTGCCTGGTGGGCAGGCCATTTAGCTTATCTGTGCCTTTGTGTCCCTGTCCATCAAATAGAGGAGGTGGGGGGTCTCACTGGCCCCTCTATCATCCGGCCCTTGTGATGGTTTGGTGGGTCTGTCTGGCACATGGTGAATGTCGGTTGTAGTAGCCATAACCATTTGGAATGGCACAGACGGCAGGAAGGGACGTCGTTCCATGAGAAAGATACAGAGGAGGGAATGTCCAAGAGGGGCCTCTCTAAAGGATGGGAAGTTCACTTTTGGAAAGGAGGGATGAGAGATCAATCAGCTGGGTGGGTGAGATAACATTTAGAGGGCACAGACCCTTCTTATGAGTTGATTGTAGCTTTGGTCACCAAGAAAAATGTACCTACACACACACACACACACACACACACACAATTTTTGCCTACAAATCTGGGGACTCACAGACCCCCAATGTCCGCCTGCAACCTCCCAGTTGAAGTCCATTGCCACTTCCAGGTTAAATAACTTTGCCATCAATGACTCTATTATTTTGGCAATATTGATCAAAACATTAAATGTACATACTGTTCAACTCAATAATTTCACTTGATGGAATTTGTTCTACAAATGAAGGACATGAGCAAAACGACAAAGATAAAAGTTGTTTATTGCAGCCTGTTGATTACAGGAAAGCTAGGAAATGACCCCTTTATTCAGAGGGAACCGGTTAAATCAATTATGTCTGCAAAGTGAAACAC